TCTATTTTGAAAGTTATTATATATTCTATCTATTGTGATGAGTAAATGATAAGTCTGTTGTTTCAACAAACAAGACTTTGCATAATGTTATGAATTTGGAGTAATAAGACTTCAAGGCATAGATTTAATTTGGCAAGTATAAACCTTTACTTTATTGTATTTAAGTTTTTCTAATTAGTAACATCTTAACTAACTACTACTATAAACTATCTACTACTACTTACAGAAAATTTTTATTTTTTTTCACTGCTTGAAATGTAAAAAGATAAGTATTTTATTAAACTTTTCTTTGCTTTTTATACATTTTAGCAGATACTACCAATTTTTCTATTTATTTTAGGTTTTTTCTTTATTTTTTTACAATTTTGCCTTTATAGAATTGTACTACTGTAGGTTTCATTTAAATTAGATAAGTACTATACTTTATGCATTTGTATTTTTACTTGATTTTTAATGTATTTTACTAACCTGTCCTATTATTTTGAATTTTGCTACTTTGAAACATCACTGTCATGGTGTAATGTCTTCTCTGATTTGAATATAACTGCCTTGTTTTGCTTGTATTTCTTGATGTGAGGCCTGATTATACATGTTTCATGTTTTGGAAAATCAATAATGCATATATAATCTGTAGGTTCCAATTGTTGTTTGTGTTATGTATTATTATGCATGAGTCATTATGTTTTTTTGGCCTATAATACTATTCATTCTTGGGTGTGATCTATCTTTATATCTATTTGTATTCTGCTAGATATGAGAATATTTTTTTTGGTTATTTGGCTGTAGATAAGTGGTTTGTGTTTTTTCAAATTGCTGTTTATAGTTGTAACAAATTCTGTGTCCATGTGGCTATCTTCTGTATTTGTATATTCTTTATTGTTTAGTATATTGTGTTAGTTATCTATACTGGTTAAGATATCTTTAGTGTTGAGGTTTTCTAAATTGGATTCTGTTGAGAGCATGAGATTTGTAGATTCTAATAATGTGTTATCAAAACTAGTTTGTACAGGTTTGTTGTTATTGCTATTTGTTCATAATAATGTTATGCTTGAATTTGGTAAAGGTGAGTTAGATTGCCCACTTTTTGTATTACTTTGAAGTCTTAAAGAAGGGTTCATCATTTTTTAGCTAGCATATCTAAGTAGGTGAAGTCTTTTTTGATACTGGTTCTGCTCTTTAAAAAACTGTTGTTATGAGAACTTGCAGTTTGCTTTCCTATTTGCAATTGTAATATGGTCTCAAAGAAGAATATAAATAAGAGACCTACAGCCTATATTGGTCTTTTTTGTTTGCTATAGTGTTGCTAGTTCTACTTTGTTTTTTTTTAATCTTGTCTGTGTTTCTTGTTTATCTTGTCTATAAACTATAAGCTTAGGACTAAAGGCAGCTTTTGGTTACTAAAACTTTATTTATTTTGAAAATTTCTATTTATATATTTTGCTAATTATTGTTTATTTAGTAATTTATAATTTATAAAAAAGAGTTTGTAACTAGCCAAATAATAATATTATTATTAAATTTTATTTTATTTTTATAATACAATTATCATATTAACTATAATTTTTCTTTAATTTTATTATCTTACTTAAAATTAATATATTTATACAAATAATCAACAAGTTCTTATATTTATACTAAATAAATTACATATTATTTATACTTTATAGATTTTTTATAAAGTACTTATACTTAACATTCTTAACTAATAATCCTTATAATCTTAATTATACTTCTTTAATTGATGAATTTCTTATTGAAATTCCTATCCAATGCTCTATTTGAACTATATGTCAAGCCTACATTATAATATTTTGAATATCTCAACATCATTTTCAACAATGGTCTACTATTGTACCTAATATTAACTAGAAAGCTATATGGCTTTATATTAACAATAATCAAAAAATTTCCAATTTTGCTTATAATTTTTACTTATCTACTCTAAAAACTTTTTGAATTAAAATCCTTACAGATAAACTTTCTGTTTCTTATACTTTTCACAAATATAACTTTTCTTTTTTTCTCCTGTTATCAATGCAATCAGACTAGCTCTTCACTTTATTAGGCTATCTGCCTTTTAATCCAAATAATTTATTACTTAATCTCTAATTCTCTTAATAGTATTTTAAATACAACTTTCTTAATATGCCTGCCAATCTTGTTTCTGATTTACATACTGAAATTTTTACACTTAATAGTTTTAAACTACACAACTTTTTATATATACCTTCTCTTATTTCATCCTATTTGATTTAGTTTCTATTAACTTTATTTCTGATATTTACAATGCTTATATTTCTTATTATATTGCTACTACTCTTTTTATCAAACCTCTTCTTTATTTAAACTAACAAATATACAAACAAATAAGGATTCTATATTGTGTTTCATATTCTGCATAGTCTCAAATTATACTTTCTATTAACTTTAATTATAGTCATTCTTCTAGTTTACATTCATCTTCTATTTCAATACCACAAATTTTTACTAAAATTAATCTTTGGACTATCTAATGAATTAAATACTATACTCCTCTTTCTTATATTATTACTCAAACCTAAATTTAGATAAGCCTTGGTCATTCTTGTAAGTTTAGATTACAGATTATACATTCAAGTTTTTATTCTTCATATATAATTTAAAAGCAAGCTTTTCTTTATAAAAACTTTAATTAAATTTTAATAAAATTAAAAGCATAACCTTACTGTTAATATTTAAAAAAAAATAAAGTACTTATACAATCTAAATCAAACCCCTTATATTTGTATAAGTATAACAAATTTAGATAGACTTTAACTATTCTAGTTAGTTTAAATTGCAGATAAAATAGTTTAAGCTTTAATTCTTATATATAGTTTTTATTTTGTATTATGCAATCTTAGTATATCTTAATATATAGTATATTAATATATACAACAAAAATTACTAATAAAGATATGAGCAAGACCTTATCTTAACATCAAAAAAAAATTTATAAACCTTAGAAGTTAGTAGATTCTAAACCTTTTTATTATAAACTTTATATAGATATGATTATTGTCTAATTCAGTATTTTTAAATATATTCTAAATATTAAACTACCTTTATATTAATTTTTTATAGTATTTTTATTATATTTTACTAGAAGCATTTATTAATTTAGTAAGACTAATCTTTTATTACAGCTTATTTTTGTATTTACTATTTTTTTCACTATTTTATTTTGTCTATTGTAGATTATATTTCTAATTAAATTCTGTTTTTATACATTTTAATAAAACTTTTTTGTATAATATAGTAATTATTTTTTCAAGCAAGTATTTTGCAAGTTGAATATAAAGATATTAGTACTTTTAGCTAAAAAGTATCAAATGTTAATATGCCTTTTTGTTTTAAAGATTTATATATATAATTCTTGTATAGTTAAGGTCTTCTATAATATAATCATTACATATAACACTTACATTTTACAATTAGGTCTTCTTTTGAGAATTTTTTTATTTGGATTTGTATATACACTTAAACTTGTTCTACAAGATTACACATACCAACTTGATATATTTGAATTAAAATATAATTACACAAAATTTTACATATTAATTTGCAATTACATTAAATTTTTGATTCTTTAAGGTTACAAAAGTAAAACCCAGTTTTGCCTTCAACTTTGTAAAGAAAAACTTAACTACTAAGCTATGAAATCCAGACCTAATTTTTTTTTGAATCATTATTAATTTATTATAAAATAATATCTTTTACACTTATATATAAATGAACTTTTAATGAATTAGACAAATAATAATTCATAACTTTATATTTAGTCTCTGATGTGGCAAATATTTTTAAAATACTATTTATATTCTATATAATATTTAAAATGTGCAATTTTTAATTTTATAACATCTTATAATCCTTCAATTTATGCAATGGCACAAAGTTTTTATTAATACTATCGAGCCATTCGTTACTATTTGGATTCATTATGTCTTCTTCGCCAATTTTTTGTTGCTGCGTCTGGATTCAAATAAATATTCAGAGTTATAATCTTCCAGAAGGGCATTAAAAATAAAATCTACAAGGTTTTATGGTACAATTGCATTTTCTTGATTTAGGTTTTATAAATTTATTTCGATTTTCATTCTTTTTCGTTTATTGTTAGTGGAAATTTAGTTACGGAAATTAACAATATTTTTAGAATAGTGTGTTTATTGGATTCTATGCTTTTAACGATCGCTTTTCACTTTAAAGAATCGAAGAAAAAAAATTACTAAATCAATTATGGTAATATTATTATCATGATCTAATCATGATGAATTGACAATATCACATGATTTTCGAAACTTTTTGGCAATACAGATATAGAACGGGATTTCGTTTATATGAGTGCAGCCAGAGAAAAATCAGTTACATGTTTAAATTTTCACAGTACTGCAGTATCGGACATAAATTCACATGTAATATGTATTACGTAAATTGCAACAGATTTCGATTAGTGTTTTGATCGTTTCGATAGTACAGTATTTTGAATGACTTGCGAGAAATTTGTGTGCCGGAACACTGGTCATGCATTGATTTAAATTAAGTAATATCACAATAATTCAGAAATTTGTACGTGTGTACGTACGTATGCAAGTGCTTACGGGTTTTCCATTGGTAGCACTCATATGTATAATCTTGGTTTTACTTCAGTAAAGAGCATCTTTAATTCTACTGAACACTTTAAATCTTGTAAAAAGATATTTTACATGGAAAAAGGAGAAACACGAATACTTCAACCAGATCTATAACCATCTACAATGGGTGTAAATGGCAACTTTCTAAAATTAACTTATTTCTTTACTGTATATGTATCATGAGAAAAAAGGATTATAACATGAAAGTAATGAATTCCTTTGTTGATCTAACGATCAACATAAACTAAATGAAAACTAGCTAAATTGACTGTTTGTGTGGAAGTTTACGAGAATTAAACTAATTTAAACTATGAACAAAATCTATATGCAAAATAATTACATCAATAATTAAGGAAAAGATAGCAATAATGGTATTATAGTTGTATTATCATACTTGGTACAATTATCGGAACAAAAATGGTCATTAAAGTTATTAGCGAAGCCAATTAAGCTATTTTGAACATTTTTCGAAGTTCCTTTCACAAGGTAATCAGAACTATTTTGTGTAAGATTATTTTTAGATGCAACATCTTTAATAACATTGCTGATCTGAGTAATGTAATCGCCTCCTTCTTTTGAATTATCCGATACTTTCGCTTTTAGATCTTTATAAATTTTCTGCTTATTGAGATCTATAAAATGACATATTGAAGGTGGATTTCCACAAATTTTGTCCATTAAAATACAATCTTGGTATGTCCAATTGACACCTAGAGGAGGCTGTACAACTGTATTGTTACAATCACCCTTCATTTTTGGGTCCTCGTTGAAAATGGCATTTTTAACTATATCAGACACGCCGGTAAGGAATGTATTCATAAGGCTATCGATTTGATCAGATATTGAAGAGTCCAATTGAATGGTAACTTGTTTTATAACATTCGGATCAGTGGAAACACTATCATATGACATACTAAAGAATAAATGTTCCAAAGAATCGTTTTTGAAATCCTTGTAGAACGGTGTGATTTCGACAGTATAACTACTAGCGAAAGCATTGGAAATACCAATTTGACACTCTTTCTCGCATGATTTTACTTGCTCAGCAATAAAAAATAATGCGCATACGATTACAAAGGTATCAAAAGTTCGAAAAATTTTCATTTTGTAAGTAGGAAAAAGAAAGGACTGAGAAAAGAGTGTTAAATTCTATTGATTTAGAGTTATACTTCTGACTACTAAAGAAAAAATATCTTCAGTAAAATGATGAAAAAAATCGGTTAACATTTTGGAAATTCTGGTGCCTTTTTATTAACATTGATGATGAAACGAATAATAAATATACGGTACCACAAAGTATATGCGTGCATGATAATGAATATTTGTCAATTATCAGCATTTATATTTTATTCGTTGTTCCTTGAACTATTTATATTTAGATTTACTAATCAGGCAAGTGTAAGTGATACAACTCCAGAAAGGAAACCTAGCACAAAGATGTCGATTTTTTAGAATGAGAAATAACCACTTTATAATATGAGTAACATTATATTCTCGTAATCTTAATGAGTATAACAAAGTTGAGATAAATATTCGTATTCTTGTTTTCGCATTCTCTAGCTGCTACTTTGCCATTCTTTGTATCCCTACATGAATAAGCGCATGCGGGTCAATATACAATTTCATATTTTTCTTCCATACACAGATAATAACAAATAATATTCTTAGTTGATGATTATTTTACAAATTTCGCTGCGTTTACCGAAATATAAACCCATTATGAATCCATATCAGGTAAGTGAAATTAGAAAAATTAGGACAAACTTAACTCCGAGTAAATGTAATCAGAGTGATTGACATTTTTTAGGATGGTCGGCTAATTAAAGGTCGGACATTAAAATATACAACTCAGTATGCGTGATAATCTGATACTTATCTAATATATGTAAGCTTTGTCAAAGGAAATGCATGTAATATTAATTATTTGCATTCATATTACAAGCTCGTGAAATAAACTTTGTTTTCCAAACTTATCGACCTTATTGTTTGATACGTATAATCTGGAATTCTGAATTGCATTTTAAACTGCTTTTTTAAAAACGTACATTACAGTGCATTCGTGTAATCCAAACATCAAGTAGACCATAAATAATGTCATTTACTGTTTGTTTTTTCCTTATTGCAAGATCTTTTCGCAAAAGATGGGGATTTGAGTCTCCAGGAAAGTTAGAATGGCCAAATTTATGAATGCTAATGATATATATATATATGAAATATTATATTTATAGCACCCATGTTATATAACACCTATATAGTTTTAATTAGGGTTAGAGTCCATAGTTTTAATTAGGGTTAGAGTCCAGCTTTAAGATAAATAGGGTTTTTTTATTATACAATAATATATATTAGATATAAGGTCCCGATTTCAGTTCTCGTAAGGTTTTTGGGTCCCGAGCATTTTTACTTGGAGTACCCGATCCAGCTTACTTAGTACATTTTTGAGATATAGTATAAGGTTGTTATATAACATGGTGTTACAAATACGTATAATCTTCCTACGTATATATATATATAGCGATGATGTATCGTCGACTAATTAAAATGCAAGATCAAGTGAAACGTGAAATCGATGCAAAACGGTTTTTTCTGAAAATCGTCTGTAACTCAAGATTTTGTATATGAAACCATTTCTTACGTTTTAATTAAAAACATTCCTTGTAAAATTTTATAATAGAACTCTTTCCTTTAAATCCACGTCTAACTTTAGTCTAACGCTGACCTAACCTTAAACTAACTGCGAGAGGAGGGACCAAGATGAGGTTGGTCCATTAGCTTTAGGGTTAGGAATTATAGCTGATCAGTATAGTATACTTCAATCCATGGTAACTGATATTAAATTCCATTAAGATCTTTGTATTGAAAGACATTCTAAAGCACTAGGATTTTTTTTCTAAAAATAGATTTGTTTTTCCTAATAAAAATCACGTGTAACAATGGCTCGTAGGGTTATTTGCTAGCAAAGATCCCATATGGTACTTTTTTGAAAATAAAAAAAGATGTCAATCGGGTTTAAATCTCAAATTTCTTTGGCTAATCAATAAGCCACCAATTTAGCACACATCCTTCTAGAATCTCTTAATTACTCAACCTCATTCATTATAATTTACTATGGATGATTTCTGGTCATAATATGATTATGATTAGGGATGTTAAAGTGTCTGTCCGAACTGACCCGACTCCAGAAGTCGAGTCAGTATCAGACTCAGAATTGAGTTTTTAATCTTGTAAAGGTGTACAAAGATAGAACTGATAAACTTAATTGTTGCATATATTGACATCGATATTCTGAATTTAATAAATATCATATTATATTACTGAAGTCGGCTTAGAGTCGACTTTAAATGACTCGACTCTAAATAACTCGAAAACCGACTAAACCGAGCTGTTTAACATCCCTAATTATGATGGTATTATGAATGAATTCACCTATACATGTCATAGAAACTATTTCAGTTTTGAGAAATGTTTTATTTTTACAGTTATCTTCATAATTTATAAAACTCCTGATAAAAATTGACCGAATGATGTTCCGTCCAATTCGAATAAGTTTGTGATTTCGTATAATAAAATCTATATATTTTTGTATCATGATTATTTTACAATAATGTCAACATTATTAAAATTTTTCGTTCGAATGTTTGTCCATAGTGTTCTCAACGGGCCGAATCTATAAGTCAATTGCGGATTAAGATATAAATAAACTCTTACCCTTAAATTTTACTTTAATAAAAAATGAGGTTGACCCCAACATGTGTACTGCCAAGTGAAAACCTGTAATAGCGACTTTTAGATTTCTTACCTTTTTTTAATCCCAGATCGTCATGGTAGATCTTGTGATTAAAGAATATATCCGGATGAACATAAATTGGTTAATGGATTAAAAAGTTCAAGCTCTACAGAATAGACAGACCTATCATGATCTGGGCTTAAAAAAAAGATGAGAATCCAAAAGTCAGAGTGACGAAAAAGGAAAACCTGTAAATCATTTCACTCATTGAGTGAGATGATTTACAGGTTTTCCCTTTTCGTCACTCATATATAGCACCAGATCGGTATGGCATAGATACTGATCTGGACCACCTAATTTACTATAGTCGTAATCTAAATAACAATTTTGACTGGACATAGATTTATATAGTTAATCTCAGATGCACATGCCAATTGGTATAGATTACGTAGTTGCATAAACAGGCCTGCCAATTAATTGATTGTCATATACAGGAGGTCTACCAATTTTAAAACTTATAATAGACCCTGGGTCTAGTATAGTGTTCGAAATGAGTCGGGTTAGGCTAGGCTTTACTGATCCCGAACTCAAGCCCAAAATATTTTTGACCCTGAGCCCGGTCCCGAAAAAAAAAAGCCCAAAGCAATAGGCCGGGTAGGGTTTAGTTTTAAAATTAGATCCGGACCAAGCCCGGCCTGAAATTATAAAGATTTAAGGTGGAATTCTCAGATTTAAATCGGATTTTCAGAACAGTCCTGTAACGCCTATAGAAAAAATACTATTGACATCATATTTTATATAGTATTTATATATGTTATATATCTCTTAATATACGAATAATTTAGTAATTAATTTAAAACTAAATAATTTCACAATTTAATATATATCGTTTACAAGAGATGTTAGCATTATTTTGTTTATAAATAATGTTAAGTTTGTTAGAGAATTTACTTATTTCAAATTTATTTTTTGTATTAAAATTTTGAATCAAAAATTAAATATGTACATGGTAAGAAATTGTTTTGTTTTTTGGCTTTTGCTAAGGCTGATGTTAATAGTAGTTATTATCTTTATTATGTTTTTAATTATATATATATATATATATATATATAACTTGTATAAGAATAAGTATACAACTAGTTATCCATGTAACTTTTGGTTGCCTATTTAAATAGTCCATCTAAAGGTTTTATATTAGATGCAATGTTATACCTGTAATTTGCTAAAAGATTGCCTATTTAAATACTCTAATCCTATTGGCAATATAGAAAATTATTTTTTTTAAAGTTTTTAGAGACTGCTAATTATAGTATAAAGATTATAACTTTACAGTTTCAATATAATGTCTAGAAAATGATTTAACAAAAAAGATTTTGTAATAATTTATATATAAAACTAAAAAAAATAACAATTAATAATATATTAAAATATTAAATATTAAATAATCTTTTTTTATTTGAAATGTATAAAGACATTTACTTTTCTCTAAAAAGCAAAAAAATAATGTTTTTATAAATATTTTACATATATAAATAATTACAATAAAGAATATTATATCACTAATAAATACTATATATAGTTGTATTAATATATATAAAAAAAAATTAAAAGATATATTATATTTGTTATAAATATTATATATTAAAGACAGTATTGAGCATTTGAGTATTATGTTATTAAGTCTGTTAGCTAAAATTTTTTTAAGTATTTGTACAAGTGTTTTATTAAAATAATTAAATATATATAGTTAAAATTTTTTGTAAATATAGGTTTTTTTAATATAAAATATATTGTGGTCTATTTTTATTAAATAAATATTATCAATAACTGTAATATTTATTTAGTATAATATATAGAATATTTATAGCTACTAGTAGCAGATGTTTTAGTATTTTATTAAATATGAGTTGAGATTTAGGTATTTTGCTAATGAGTGCTTTATGTATTATATTTTCTATTTCTATTTTAGTAATTAGATTACTAAATAATTAATACTAAAAGGTATTAATATCTGTTTTTGATTTATACTATTTTGTTTATTTAAATATGTTTGGTAAATTTACTTTTGTTCAGTTTTTGAAGTAATTTTGTATCTGATGTTTTATTTCTATTAGTACTATAATTATTAAGTCTGTTTATTATATATTATAAAAATAACTAGATTAATATATTTTTGCAAAATATTATTTATTATTTTTATAATATTTTCTGTAAAGTTAGTATGCCTTTTAGCTATAGTTTTTTAGATTTAATCATATTAAGTTGTCTGATTTTTAATATTTTTAGCATTGTATATTGTGTTATAAATAAAGTAGAGTATAAAAAATAAAGTATTGTATTCAAAATAGAATAAGTTGTTCTAAGATAAAAATAAATA